ATATATATATATATATTAAACAATTGTTTGATCATAAAATACAATAATTATTTCGGGAGGTATAAGGTTGGTTTGGTGGTTTAAAAGAGGGAAATAGGATTGGTGTGATAAAGAGGATGTGAGTTCTAATCCCTCTACTAACATAATAATTAATAATTAATGATTAATGATTAATGTTTGTCAATAAATAAAAATAATTATCTTAAACATCATAAAAAAATTGGTTGTTAGTTAGTTGATGTAAAGTCTTTTATGCTTATTGTGCATATTTATTAAACTCAATGACTCATCATATTTTTAAAATTAGATTAAATTTTACAATATTTTAGACTTTTATTTATATACAGTAATGTAGAGCTACTAGTTGTGAATGTGGAGCGATCTGATTCAATTTGTGACTGTGTTGGATACCCACCCAATTTAAGTGTTGAGAGTGGGGCCATAATTTGATCTTTTTGGTTGTTGTGGGGATTTGAATCAGATTTTGGTTTTGAAAGGGATGCATCATCCACCTCATTCCTTCTTGCTCCTCACGCCAGCGGCCAACCAACCAACATGTTTCCATGACAACTCTCATGTCATTTTACCATTATTATTAGTTTTTTTAAAACACTCAATTTAGTCTCTGAATTTGAAGGACACTATCATATTACTCTCGAAACTAAAATATTGTTAAATATGGCCCTAACATGTAAATTCATAATCATATTAATCTAGAACTTAAAAAAAAAAAAAAAGTGTAACCAAAGTGATAAAATTAATATATATTCAAGAATCACAATGACAATAAGTAGTTAAATTGAAGGATTTTTCTTAATATTTTAGGAATTTATTTGACGATTTGATGGAAATCTCCTATAGAAAATTAATTGGCTTTGATTTCTCTTTCAAGTTCCTTCTTAGACCTTTGACTTCTTGGCACTTCTCCAGCTTCTTTGAGGCTTCTAATGGAGGTAGAAGCCCTTGGGTTCACCTAGGAAGGTGAAGAGCACTTTTTAAGAGGTGCCACTAATTGGACGAAGATGAGTCATTTTAATCCTCACCACACTCTTTAGGAAGAGGATAAGAGAATTAGATCAAAATCAAAGAGTTTGAAGACTTTTGGGAGAGAGAAATTTGAAGTAATAACTCAGAAATTCCTCTATTATGTATCAAAAGTGTCTACAAAGTAATGGAAAGGCCTTATATAGAGAATAGGTAGCTTATGGTGTAAGTTAGTCTAACTGTGGTTCAAATAGAACCATAATTAGCTTTCTTACACTTAAACTAACTATCCCTAGTTACCTTCCTAGAAGCTTGTGGAGCAAGCTAAGCTAACCTTAGTTTAAAGATGACTTAGCTTAGCTTAACTTAACTCCAATTAACTATCCTATTGATTACTTCTAGTAGTTAGTTGAGATGTCACTTTCAAGGCCATGTGAAAGCTTCTTCTACAAGTTTGGACATTGGATAGCTTCCTCACCAAACTTGGACGTCTAAACTGTTAGTCCCTTAGCCTCAATTAACTTAAGAGGGGGGGGGGTGAATTAAGTTTACTAAATTTCCTCTTATAAAAACTTTTCCAATTACTTCTTTATCAATTTATTTCCTTAGACAAATTTGTATGTAAAGAATGAATGATGATGCAAACTACACAATTATAATTAATAACAAGAAATTAAAAGTGTAAGGAAAGAAGAATTGCAAACTTGATTTTATACTGGTTCGGCCAATCCTGCCTACATCCAGTCCTCAAGTCTCCCACTTGAGATTTCCACTACTCTTGTAAACCTTACAAGAATTGAATCCTCCAACACCTCGGAACTCCCTTTCCTTGTGTTGAGATTCAAACACCAACAAGGAGAAAAACCCTTTCTCCTTTACAGATCAACAGATCAACAGGGTATTACAGAATGACTCTCTTTAAAGAGTAGATATTACACTTTCTATGAACTTGATGAACTCTTTAGATAATTGTTTGCAAATGATTTTTGGCCAAGTAGTTTTTGTAAATGATTTTCACAATAGAGTTCGTCACCTTTCTCTGAAAAATTATAGGTATTTATAGACAATTGTTTCTTGAGTTATGTCTTTTCATGAAGAGTTGTAACTCTCTATAATTTTTCAGAAAATAGGCTCTGGTAATCGATTACAAGACTTGGTAATCGATTACAACGGTTTAAGTTCAAAATGTTTGAAACGTTGTATAGTTCAAATTCGAATTTTGAAAATTTCTCTTCTGGTAATCGATTACAGTCAGTGGTAATCGATTACCAGAGAGCATTTTAACATTTTGAAAGGTTTTCTTTCTCTGGTAATCGATTACAGCAAGTGGTAATCGATTACCAGAAACATGTCACTTGTTTTGGCTTATGAAAACCTAAGATATAAAGAACTTCTATTTTCCAGTTAAAAATATTTTTGTTTAATCTTTTGAATACTCTTTTTGCTTTCTTTTCAAACAACTTATTCTTATATTCAAAAGTATTAAGTTTAGGTTTTCTTGAAATTCTTATTTTAATGGCCAAGTCAAATTTGTAAATTCTAAAAGTTCATTTTACATATTAAGCTAAGCAGTCAAGACTTATCTAGTTATTACTTGAGATCTTGCTTCTTGATCAGCTTGCTTTAACTTGATCTTTATTTTCTTCAATGCTTTGGCATCATCAAAACTTTGTGCATATTTTCTTCCACACAAACCACTTGCCTAGGAGAGTGGACATCCAACCTTGGTGTATTTTAGAAATCCATTTGGGCCATCCAAGCCCAAATAATCCCATGGTCTTTCTAGTTACACCTCCCATAAACTATTAATTACACCAAAATACAAGGAACAAAAATCCTACACTACTTGACCCAAAATACAAGTCAAAAAAATATCTATACAATATGTTCAATGTATTTACAATGAAGACTAAGAAACTACTAAGAAGAATTATACTCAATGCTTAAGTAAAACATAGGTCTAAAATGTACCTCCTCTGTAGAAGCCTTGTTGGATCGAGCGCTTACCACTAGACCAAAAGCTATAGCTGATAGTCAGGGCGCAACTCTTTTTACTTAAGAGCGCAGCAACCCAAGCGCCATGATTCGACAATGACTTGGCCCACCTAGCCTCCGTCACGGGACAATTGATGCAACCTGCAACAATCTCCCCCTCAGCAATTGCCCAGCTGGGTATCGAACTCATGACCTTGGCTCTGATACCAATTGTTGGATCGAGCGCTTACCACTAGGCCAAAAGCTATAGCTGATAGTCAGGGCGCAACTCTTTTTACTTAAGAGCGCAGCAGCCCAAGCGCCATGATTCGACAGTGACTTAGCCCACCTAGCCTCCGCCACGGGACAATTGATGCAACCCGCAACAAGCCTCTTTTAGCCTCCTAACCATGGATCTAGTTAGAAACCTAATGATCTTCATGTGTGAGCTCTCTTATGGATCAACCTTCACCTTCTTGGTCTTACCTCTTCCAAAGGGATCCTTGAGGATTAGGTTTCCATCATGATTTCTTAGTTTTAGAGACTAGTATAACAATGTCTTTCAAATTCAAGGACCAAAGTAGGTGTTTATTCTAGTTTTATGTGGTTACTTGAAGGTTAGTATTTAATGGTAAAGATTATTTGTAACATTTTCTAGTTTTATGTAGTTGTTTGAAACACATTTAATGCACCAATACACATCTTATTCTACAAGGAAAGAAAATGAAGAAAAACAAAGCAAACCTACAAGTGAAACTCAAAGGTTTGCAATTGTCACCTTCATCAAACACTTATGTAAAAAAGCTTAAAGATTCAGAAAGAAAGAAGAGAATAATTTTTGAATCACTCATTTAATTCTTTGTGTGTAAAAGATTGTACTTAAAAGTTGTATCACGTCTTGTGAGAAAGACGAAATACTTGTTATCTTTACCCAATTTTAACTTTGTGTTTTACCTTGACGTTTGAAGAGACTTTATTGTAAAAAAATACTTGATGATATTATTATTGAATCACTATAAAAAAATTATTATATTTTCTCTATGATCAATAATATAGGGAACAACTTAGGTCATTTTTCTAGAAGGCATAAGTCAATTAAATATAAATTTGTCATGCAATTATTAGTAAGAGAATTTGAAATAGCGAAATAATGATCAACAATTAAAAATGCAATCAAAAAAATTAAACAA